ATAATGGTATTGTTATGATAATGGTGCTGTCTATAGAGTGTGTTATGATAATGGTATTGTTATGATAATGGTGTTGTCTATAGAGTGCTATAATAATGGTATTGTTATGATAATGGTGTTATCTATAGAGAGTGTTATGATAATGGTATTGTTATGATAATGGTGTTGTCTATAGAGTGTTATGATAATGGTATTGTTATGATAATGGTGTTGTCTATAGAGTGTTATAATAATTGTACTGTTATGATAATGGTGCTGTCTATAGAGTGTTATGATAATGGTATTGTTATGATAATGGTGTTGTCTGTAGAGTGTTATAATAATTGTACTGTTATGATAATGGTGTTGTCTATAGAGTGTTATGATAATGGTATTGTTATGATAATGGTGTTGTCTATAGAGTGTTATAATAATTGTACTGTTATGATAATGGTGCTGTCTATAGAGTGTTATAATAATTGTTATGATAATGGTGTTGTCTATAAAGTGCTATAACAATGGTATTGTTATGATAATGGTGTTGTCTATAGAGTGTTATGATAATAGTATTGTTATGATAATGGTGTTGTCTATAAAGTGCTATAACAATGGTATTGTTATGATAATGGTGTTGTCTATAGAGTGTTATGATAATAGTATTGTTATGATAATGGTGTTGTCTATAGAGTGCTATAACAATGGTATTGTTATGATAATGGTGTTGTCTATAGAGTGCTATAACAATGGTATTGTTATGATAATGGTGTTGTCTATAGAGTGTTATGATAATAGTATTGTTATGATAATGGTGTTGTCTATAGAGTGCTATAACAATGGTATTGTTATGATAATGGTGTTGTCTATAAAGTGCTATAACAATGGTATTGTTATGATAATGGTGTTGTCTATAGAGTGTTATGATAATAGTATTGTTATGATAATGGTGTTGTCTATAAAGTGCTATAACAATGGTATTGTTATGATAATGGTGTTGTCTATAGAGTGTTATGATAATAGTATTGTTATGATAATGGTGTTGTCTATAGAGTGCTATAATAATGGTATTGTTATGATAATGGTGTTGTCTATAGAGTGCTATAACAATGGTATTGTTATGATAATGGTGTTGTCTATAGAGTGTTATGATAATAGTATTGTTATGATAATGGTGTTGTCTATACAGTTCTATAATAATGGTGTCGTTATGATAACAGTATTGTTATGATAATAGTATTGTGATGATAATGGTGTTGTCTATAGAGTGCTATAATAATGGTATTGTTATGATAATGGTGTTGTCTATAGAGAGTGTTATGATAATGGTATTGTTATGATAATGGTGTTGTCTATAGAGAGTGTTATAATAATGGTATTGTTATGATAATGGTGTTGTCTTATAGAGTGTTATGATAATAGTATTGTTATGATAATGGTGTTGTCTATAGAGTGCTATAATAATGGTATTGTTATGATAATGGTGTTGTCTATAGAGAGTGTTATGATAATGGTGTTGTCTATAAAGTGCTATAACAATGGTATTGTTATGATAATGGTGTTGTCTATAGAGTGTTATGATAATGGTATTGTTATGATAATGGTGTTGTCTATAGAGTGCTATAATAATGGTATTTTTATGATAATGGTGTTGTCTATAGAGTGTTATAATAATGGTATTGTTATGATAATGGTGCTGTCTATAGAGTGTTATAATAATTGTTATGATAATGGTGCTGTCTTTAGAGAGTGTTATGATAATAGTATTGTTATGATAATGGTGTTGTCTATACAGTTCTATAATAATGGTGTCGTTATGATAACAGTATTGTTATGATAATAGTATTGTGATGATAATGGTGTTGTCTATAGAGTGCTATAATAATGGTATTGTTATGATAATGGTGTTGTCTATAGAGAGTGTTATGATAATGGTATTGTTATGATAATGGTGTTGTCTATAGAGAGTGTTATAATAATGGTATTGTTATGATAATGGTGTTGTCTATAGAGTGTTATGATAATAGTATTGTTATGATAATGGTGTTGTCTATAGAGTGCTATAATAATGGTATTTTTATGATAATGGTGTTGTCTATAGAGTGTTATAATAATGGTATTGTTATGATAATGGTGTTGTCTATAGAGTGTTATAATAATTGTACTGTTATGATAATGGTGCTGTCTATAGAGTGTTATAATAATTGTTATGATAATGGTGCTGTCTTTAGAGAGTGTTATGATAATAGTATTGTTATGATAATGGTGTTGTCTATACAGTTCTATAATAATGGTGTCGTTATGATAATGGTGTTGTCTATAGAGAGTGTTATGATAATGGTGTTGTCTATAGAGAGTGTTATGATAATGGTGTTGTCTATAGAGAGTGTTATGATAATGGTATTGTTATGATAATGGTGTTGTCTATAGAGAGTGTTATGATAATGGTATTGTTATGATAATGGTGCTGTCTATAGAGTGTGTTATGATAATGGTATTGTTATGATAATGGTGTTGTCTATAGAGTGCTATAACAATGGTATTGTTATGATAATGGTGTTGTCTATAGAGTGTTATGATAATAGTATTGTTATGATAATGGTGTTGTCTATAGAGTGCTATAATAATGGTATTGTTATGATAATGGTGTTATCTATAGAGAGTGTTATGATAATGGTATTGTTATGATAATGGTGTTGTCTATAGAGTGTTATGATAATGGTATTGTTATGATAATGGTGTTGTCTATAGAGTGTTATAATAATTGTACTGTTATGATAATGGTGCTGTCTATAGAGTGTTATGATAATGGTATTGTTATGATAATGGTGTTGTCTGTAGAGTGTTATAATAATTGTACTGTTATGATAATGGTGTTGTCTATAGAGTGTTATGATAATGGTATTGTTATGATAATGGTGTTGTCTATAGAGTGTTATAATAATTGTACTGTTATGATAATGGTGCTGTCTATAGAGTGTTATAATAATTGTTATGATAATGGTGTTGTCTATAAAGTGCTATAACAATGGTATTGTTATGATAATGGTGTTGTCTATAGAGTGTTATGATAATAGTATTGTTATGATAATGGTGTTGTCTATAAAGTGCTATAACAATGGTATTGTTATGATAATGGTGTTGTCTATAGAGTGTTATGATAATAGTATTGTTATGATAATGGTGTTGTCTATAGAGTGCTATAACAATGGTATTGTTATGATAATGGTGTTGTCTATAGAGTGCTATAACAATGGTATTGTTATGATAATGGTGTTGTCTATAGAGTGTTATGATAATAGTATTGTTTATGATAATGGTGTTGTCTATAGAGTGCTATAACCAATGGTATTGTTATGATAATGGTGTTGTCTATAAAGTGCTATAACAATGGTATTGTTATGATAATGGTGTTGTCTATAGAGTGTTATGATAATAGTATTGTTATGATAATGGTGTTGTCTATAAGTGCTATAACAATGGTATTGTTATGATAATGGTGTTGTCTATAGAGTGTTATGATAATAGTATTGTTATGATAATGGTGTTGTCTATAGAGTGCTATAATAATGGTATTGTTATGATAATGGTGTTGTCTATAGAGTGCTATAACAATGGTTTGTTATGATAATGGTGTTGTCTATAGAGTGTTATGATAATAGTATTGTTATGATAATGGTGTTGTCTATACAGTTCTATAATAATGGTGTCGTTATGATAACAGTATTGTTATGATAATAGTATTGTGATGATAATGGTGTTGTCTATAGAGTGCTATAATAATGGTATTGTTATGATAATGGTGTTGTCTATAGAGTGCTATAATAATGGTATTGTTATGATAATGGTGTTGTCTATAGAGAGTGTTATGATAATGGTATTGTTATGATAATGGTGTTGTCTATAGAGAGTGTTATAATAATGGTATTGTTATGATAATGGTGTTGTCTATAGAGTGTTATGATAATAGTATGTTATGATAATGGTGTTGTCTATAGAGTGCTATAATAATGGTATTGTTATGATAATGGTGTTGTCTATAGAGAGTTGTTATGATAATGGTGTTGTCTATAAAGTGCTATAACAATGGTATTGTTATGATAATGGTGTTGTCTATAGAGTGTTATGATAATGGTATTGTTATGATAATGGTGTTTGTCTATAGAGTGCTATAATAATGGTATTTTTATGATAATGGTGTTGTCTATAGAGTGCTATAATAATGGTATTTTTATGATAATGGTGTTGTCTATAGAGTGTTATAATAATGGTATTGTTATGATAATGGTGCTGTCTATAGAGTGTTATAATAATTGTTATGATAATGGTGCTGTCTTTAGAGAGTGTTATGCATAATAGTATTGTTATGATAATGGTGTTGTCTATACAGTTCTATAATAATGGTGTCGTTATGATAACAGTATTGTTATGATAATAGTATTGTGATGATAATGGTGTTGTCTATAGAGTGCTATAATAATGGTATTGTTATGATAATGGTGTTGTCTATAGAGAGTGTTATGATAATGGTATTGTTATGATAATGGTGTTGTCTATAGAGAGTGTTATAATAATGGTATTGTTATGATAATGGTGTTGTCTATAGAGTGTTATGATAATAGTATTGTTATGATAATGGTGTTGTCTATAGAGTGCTATAATAATGGTATTTTATGATAATGGTGTTGTCTATAGAGTGTTATAATAATGGTATTGTTATGATAATGGTGTTGTCTATAGAGTGTTATAATAATTGTACTGTTATGATAATGGTGCTGTCTATAGAGTGTTATAATAATTGTTATGATAATGGTGCTGTCTTTAGAGAGTGTTATGATAATAGTATTGTTATGATAATGGTGTTGTCTATACAGTTCTATAATAATGGTGTCGTTATGATAATGGTGTTGTCTATAGAGAGTGTTATGATAATGGTGTTGTCTATAGAGAGTGTTATGATAATGGTATTGTTATGATAATGGTGTTGTCTATAGAGAGTGTTATGATAATAGTATTGTTATGATAATGGTGTCTATAGAGTGCTATAATAATGGTATTGTTATGATAATGGTGTTGTCTATAGAGTGCTATAATAATGGTATTGTTATGATAATGGTGTTGTCTATAGAGTGTTATGATAATAGTATTGTTATGATAATGGTGTTGTCTATAGAGTGTTATGATAATAGTATTGTTATGATAATGGTGTTGTCTATAGAGAGTGTTATGATAATGGTGTTGTCTATAGAGTGTTATAATAATGGTATTGTTATGATAATGGTGTTGTCTATAGAGAGTGCTATAATAATGGTATTGTTATGATAATGGTGTTGTCTATAGAAAGTGCTATAATAATGGTGTTGTTATGATAACAGTATTGTTATGATAATAGTATTGTGATGATAATGGTGTTGTCTATGGGCAGTGAGGGGAAAGCGGAGGCAGTTAGTCGGAGGAAGCAGAAATAGAGGAGGTAATAAACACTCGGGTTTCCCCATCAGCCCTGTGCAATCTCCCACTAATCCCAGATCAAATTCAGAGCCAAATACAACACAACACGTGTGTCAGTGTGTGTGTGTGTGTGTGTGTGTGTGTGTGTGTGTGTGTGTGTGTGAACTCACTGCAGTTGTGCTCGTCGCTGAGATCACCACAGTCATCATAACCATCACACAGCAGAGAAACATTCACACAGCGTCCAGTTCCACAGCTAAACTCTCCATCAGCGCAGACTGAGAGAGAGAGAGAGAGAGAGAGAGAGAGAGGGAGAGACAAAGAAAGAGAGATAGAGAGAGAGACAGAGACAGAGACAGAGACAGAGAAAGAGACATAGAGAGAGAGACAGAGACAGAGAGAGAGAGAGAAGGAGATAGAGATAGGGAGGGAGAGAGAGGGGGAGAGAGGGGGAGAGAGAGCGAGAGAGAGAGAGAGAGAGAGAGAGAGAGGTATGGGGTGAAAAGAACATAAGCAGTGTTTATAAAGCGATTATGGGGTTTGTGGTCACTTATTCATTTACTTGTTTGTTCCAACAAGAAACAAAATCCTTCATGATCAAAGTCCAGTTTTTAACGAGAGCTCTGTTTGTAAAACATACACGCTGGTAAAACACAATAAAACATATAAATTACATATTAGACCAAATAAACACACTGAAAAACAATGAACTTCCTTCAACACAAACTGACGGTCGAATACAGTTAGTAAAAATTAGATTTGTGATATTAATTTGCCCATGATTATAACAACGTGTAAAGTCCGTCCCACGGTGCAGTCAGTCCCACTCAGCTTGTGTTCAGCTAAAAATACAAAAAATATAATTTCCCACAATCAGTAACATAAAAACTAATCACGTAAGCAGCACTTAGGGTCATTTAGGGTCAGCCTGAGGTCAGTACTGTGCAATGGTGTGATGATAATTCCATCACTTAGGAAATACACTGTGTGTAAGTATGAGAGAAAGGAGGGAACCCCCCCCCCTTAAGAACAGAGTCAATTTACTGCAAAGCTAAACTAGACCACCTACCTGGAGTAAGAATCCCCTCTACATGGAGTAAGAATCCCCTCTACCTGGGGTAAGAATCCCCTCTACCTGGAGTAAGAAGCCCCTCTACCTGGAGTAAGAATCCCCTCTACCTGGAGTAAGAAGCCCCTCTACCTGGGGTAAGAATCCCCTCTACCTGGAGTAAGAAGCCCCTCTACCTGGGGTAAGAATCCCCCTCTACCTGGAGTAAGAAGCCCCTCTACCTGGGGTAAGAATCCCCTCTACCTGGGGTAAGAATCCCCCTCTACCTGGAGTAAGAAGCCCCTCTACCTGGGGTAAGAATCCCCTCTACCTGGGGTAAGAATCCCCTCTACCTGGGGTAAGAATCCCCTCTACCTGGAGTAAGAATCCCCTCTACCTGGGGTATGAATCCCCTCTACCTGGAGTAAGAATCCCCTCTACCTGGAGTATGAATCCCCTCTACCTGGAGTAAGAATCCCCTCTACCTGGGGTATGAATCCCCTCTACCTGGAGTAAGAATCCCCTCTACCTGGAGTATGAATCCCCTCTACCTGGAGTAAGAATCCCCTCTACCTGGGGTAAGAATCCCCTCTACCTGGAGTAAGAATCTCCTCTACCTGGGGTAAGAATCCCCTCTACCTGGAGTAAGAATCCCCTCTACCTGGAGTAAGAATCTCCTCTACCTGGAGTATGAATCCCCTCTACCTGGGGTAAGAATCCCCTCTACCTGGAGTAAGAATCTCCTCTACCTGGAGTATGAATCCCCTCTACCTGGGGTAAGAATCCCCTCTACCTGGAGTAAGAATCTCCTCTACCTGGAGTAAGAATCTCCTCTACCTGGAGTAAAAATCCCCTCTACCTGGGGTAAGAATACCCTGTACCTGGAGTAAGAATCCCCCTTACCTGGAGTAAGAATCCCCTCTACCTGGAGTAAAAATCTCCTCTACCTGGAGTAAGAATCCCCTCTACCTGGAGTAAAAATCTCCTCTACCTGGAGTATGAATCCCCTCTACCTGGAGTAAAAATCTCCTCTACCTGGAGTATGAATCCCCTCTACCTGGGGTAAGAATCCCCTCTACCTGGAGTAAGAATCCCCTCTACCTGGGGTAAGAATCCCCTCTACCTAGGGTAAGAATCCCCTCTACCTGGGGTAAGAATCCCCTCTACCTAGGGTAAGAATCCCCTCTACCTGGAGTAAGAATCCCCTCTACCTGGGGTAAGAATCCCCTCTACCTGGGGTAAGAATCCCCGAAACAAAACGATGAGGGGGCGCTCACTCTGGGGGGCTTCATCTCCATACTACCCCTAAATGATGAATAAATGCTGAGCTGAAAACTAGTGATCAGTGTTTACGGTCAGTGGTCAGCGTGAGAGTGTGACCTGTACTGCTCTCTCGGCAGCGCCGCCGCTCGCGTGCGCTTCTGTTCATACTTGTATATTTAACGGCAGTAAAGCTTTGTTGAAACGTCGGTGGAATAAAAGCAGAAGAGGGAAGACGACTGAGCGGAGTCGGACAGCGAGCGGTGTGTGTGTGTATGTTGACTCATTATGTGAATTCATCAGCGCGTGTGGGGGCATCGTCTCTAAGGGCAACCATTAAAATCTGTTATAATGAGTAATGTGTTTTTAATATATTAGCCATCATAGCAACACAAACACTCATACACAAACACCATAAACGCTTATCTCCCCCCTCTGAAATTCTGTTTTACTATGAATAATCAAACAAAATCAAAAGCTTCCAATTAAACATAATCAGTGCTGATATACCGTCAAGCTGCGTAATGTTTAAATTGAAATGCTCTGGCTGATCTCGAAGTTTTGCATATTTCAGATATTGATGTGTGTGATGAGATCAAAGCTGAATTTTCCTTCCGATGACGGATCATATTTGTGTAAACAACTCCACACAGTAGTGTACGCCACCACAGTACGGTGCGCCACCACTCCTGTGTCACCTAAACCTTCCTACAGGTCCTTAGCTGTCATGTGGGGGTTTTGCTTTGCCTTCCCAGCAATCATACAAGCAGTTCTATCAGAGTTTTTGGTCTACCAGATCTTCCACAGTTCCCCTTAACTGCCGTTTCTTAATGACATTTCAGACAGTGGAACTTTTCAGACTCTCAGCCAGCTGCTTATAGGAGCTCATGGTTGTTGAGTGTTAGCAGAAGATTTGAAGAGTCAGAGAATTTATTACGACCTCGAATTGTCAATTCTGCTGACAGGTCCTACTGACAATCCTCAAACTACCTAATCAGCGCTAACGAATCAGTTAAGGCCTAACGAGTTAATTAAGTTCTGAGACTTCACAACTGGAAGGGTGTCCAAACTTTTGCACATGCCACAACTCGATTTGTTCCTATTTTTAAGGTAATCAATCGTAAACTAACTGCATCAATATTTGCAGATAATTTTTTCTGCAGAGGCTGAGTTCACGTCTTTTCAAATTTCCACATACAAATGCATTTATGAATGTGTGTGTGTGTGTTGTGTGTGTTGTGTGTGTATGTGTGTGTGTGTTGTGTGTGTATGTGTGTGTGTTGTGTGTGTTGTGTGTGTGTGTGTGTGTGTTGTGTGTGTGTGTGTGTGTGTGTGTTGTGTGTGTGTGTGTGTGTGTTGTGTGTGTTGTGTGTGTGTGTTGTGTGTGTGTGTGTGTGTGTGTGTGTGTGTGTGTGTCGTACTGCAGTCGGCCTCGTCGCTCCAGTCGTCACAGTCATTAAATCCGTTACACACCAGTTTCCGGGGGACACAAATTCCTGTGGCACACAGGAAGCTGTCGGTGCCTCCACACACAGCTGTGAAAAAACAAACAAAAACAACTATAAACAAACAAAAACAACTATAAACAAACAAAAACACACAGAAATCAGCCTCACACCATCCTAACAGACCACTGAATCAGAAACGTCACACACGTCAGACTTTCACAGACTTCACTGCATGTTCGTCAGGAGGGCGAGCGTGATAGACGAACAGTAGAGAGAGAGAGTTTTACACATAACGAGTTCCAGCTTCCAACGAGCACTCAAAGCCCCAACTGTCCCTCGTTATCATGCAACATAAACAAAGCTAAACCGCGCCTGTGTGAGCTTTGTTTAATCAGCGTTTTGTTTATTACTGACTTTTAACAAGAGTTTGCTGGAGATCTCTTTTAAATACAGACTCAGAAAAACAAGATCCAACCAAAAACATCCTCAGTGAAAAAAAAATAAAAATAAAAAAAAATAAAAATAATAATAATAATAATATTAATGAGTTATAAAGGAAAGTTAATGAACAAACTAAGTTGGTTTGACAAAGCCATTACTATGGTATCCCAGGTGGTTGTTAATGTGTTGTTAGGCCACTGCTATGTTATCCAAGGTGGTTGCTAAGGTGTAGCTAGGCCTTTTCCATGGTATCCGAGGTGGTTGCTAAAGTGTTGCTAAGCAGTTGCTATGGTATCCCAGGTGGTTGCTAATGTGTGCGTGTTCATCTCTGTGCCAGTATGCGTCTGAGTCTGTATGTAATGTCTATGAGGGTCAGTGTGAGCGCTGTCCTTTGTGACATCATTTGTGGCAGTTTTTGATTTGAACTTTAAAATATTCTGCCACTCATTTCTTATGTAGAAAAAACAGTGTTTGAACAAATGCTGTTCCGTATAAAATTATATAATAAGAAGAAAATGAAGAACAGCAAGTATAAAAAATTATGTAATAATAATAATAATGATAAAAATAATCATATTAAAGTCATAACCACCAAAACAGAACAACGCAGTGCGCTTTTACGCACACAGGAAGTGAACACTCAGTGAGAGCTGAGAAATATTTGCCTGCGAACTGAGGCTGAGCTGAAGGGAGTGACTCAACACTCCTGCGTCTCAGCGGCCCTGAGAACTACGACATTTACATCCACCACTGTTTACGGTTCACTCTGAGACACGAGCGACTTCGTCTGATGACGCAACCAAACAGCAGGAACCTCATCGCCCCGGTGTCGTTACTCAAATTAGTCGGAATTAACACGTATATTAACGAGATACAGCGTTTTGTTTTGTATCATCAATAAAAACCCACACTGACGTGACGGTAAAGCTTTACTTGAACCCGGATACACAACATTAACAAAACCACGGCGTTACCACTTCAATCAGATAATCAGGATTAATAACGTTTGATGTCATAATGGCTAATTAGAGCACAGTAGAATGTCACATTAACTGTCATGACATCAAACATTATGGCATCTGTCATAACAATTACATAATAGTGACATAACATTGTTATATCACTGAACAAACTGTGTCATGATGTCATTGTCCAAAGACAAATAAGTATCTCCAAAATGGCAGCTTTACAGAAGAGGGCAAAACATTCTTTACCTTTAACGTAAGTTTACATAAAGAGGTTTTATTCCAAGCAATTTTGAAGCATTTCTATTGGTCCATTCATCAGGAAATCTTCTCAAAAGGCAACTAAATTTACCAAATGATGTAAAATAAATTCCAATAAAAATGGAGATACCAGTTTTTTGGGCAGCAAAGATATGACATGCTTATGTCATGGTTATGTCAGTGTTGTGCTGCATAGTAAAAGTGTTACCACATTTATATAGTCAACGTAGGTGACTCTGTCTGAATTTCAGCATGGCCTGGCTGTCTCCGCCCCCTCTGTCTGTCTCCGCCCCCTCTGGCAGTGTGTGTGGGTTTGAGTGTGTGTGGACCAGGTTTATGTCACACCGTGGGGACCAAAACCTGTTCATACACTCACATTGTGGGGACCTTTCCTCCCTTACAGTGTAAATAATTAAATTTTAAGGTGAGTGTAAGGTTAAGGTTAGGATCAGGGTTAGTGTTAGGCCAGTACTAGATCTGGTTAAGGTTTGGGTAAGTCTCCAGGAAATGAATGGAAGTCTGTGTAATGGCCCGTGAGTGTGTGTGAGTGTGTGTGTGTGTGTGTGTGTGTGTGATGCTCACAGGGCTTCCCCTTGGCGTGTCGCGGTGTGTAACAGGCCGGATGGGCTGCGCTGGTTGTTGAGCTGATGTTGGTGAACTGAGAGCAGCGCAGGAACTCGGGCCAAGACGCGTTAAACATCTGCAGAACCGGCTCGCAGCCCTCCCTCGCAGCCTCGCAGAACGACTGACACGGCAGCAGGAACCGACTGCAGAGAACAGGCAACGTAACATTAGATCAACACTGTGTGCACCGTTATTCAAGCGTACGCTGCTCTCTAGAATGCATTAATGACAGAAGAGATGGAGACAAAACACTGAAGAAATGCTAAACGACAGAAACTCTCTATATTACGTTTTGCCGTTCAGACACTTTTCCTCTGAATGTCACCAGATCCTCAGTACAAACTCATTAAAGTGCTGAAAAGCGGGTATTAGTTCATGTGAGCTAACACTGCTGGTCATTATAAGACTGACCAGAACACCCCAGAGACCAGCAGGCTCTGTCCAGTGTGGTAGTTTAGAGGCGTTTGGTGGTTTCAGGCTGCAGGGCGGCTGGTGTTGGTGTATAACAGTGCTGGGGTTTAATAGTAGACGTACCTTCACACAATGTCATTTCACTACTGTAGCATCTGGGCCCCTTCACAGTCTCAGAGGATCCAGTGACACTCAGTGGAAAAACGTACTCAGGACAAAAACGTATCGGCTCCACAGGATGTGATATTCTCCCACTGCCCATACGGCCCTGCACCAGCCCCCCAGGCTGGACCTTGTGGGTGGTGGGCCCACATGGTCCCCCACGTTGCCTTTTCGGGCTGAGCCCGGCTGGGTTATGTGGGCTGCCCAGCCACCAGGAGTGCCCAGAATGAGCTGGAGGAAGTTGAGGGACAGGGCTGTCCTAACTGGACTTAGCAGTTAGTCTTCAAATCTTTAATAAACTTTACATACACCTCTTTTCCTCTGTTTTGCCTCCTTTTTATGTTGCAGTCTTTAACCCCGCCTACAGAATGACGCGTGCGCGGAGGGGCGTGTCCTCCACACACACTCCGTTACCTGCTGTCTCCCTGTTTAATGCACTGCGGCAGAGCGATGGAG